CTCTTGATTCCGAGGGCAGTGGCCACGCAGAAGGAGGCTGAGGAAGCCGAGAGGGCCGCGCTGGAGGCCATCCGCGGGGATTATAGGCTTCCGGATGTGGGTCAAGAGGACAGGGAGAAGGTCGACCCTTACACCGTGACGGACGAAGACTTGGCTGCGTCGGTAGACGCGTTGACTAGGAGGTTGAGCAACATGCCTGTGGTCGGGAAATATGATCGACCCTGCGAAGTCTGCTGAGCTGGTCGCGGCGAGATGGGGCGGAAAGGCGAGTTATGACAAGCCTGAGGCTCCTCTGACTGAGGCTGGGATGAAGAGTGCGTCATTGGAGGATCGTGCCTACGCACTATCGCAGCTGAATCAGATGGTGAACTTTCACAAGAAGCACCTCTGCTCTGGGCGAGGAGCGCCTCTGGTGAGTGCAGCTGCCCCTAGTGGACCCTTTGCTCCTGACCAGTGGATGATAGCAGGAAGTTCAGGCCTAGTGGGGCGGCGAGCAAGATGACCTACAATCTTGTGATACTGGATGGGAAGGAGGATTATCTTGCCGATAGGCGAGAGATCAATCCAGAGTTAAGGGAAACGGGAGTTATCCCTGATGAGGCCGTCACTTGCCAGATTGTGGTTCCCTCGAAGACGAGGTTGGGCGAATACCTCCCGAACTACGAGGAGACCGTGGGCACTGTTGCAGGACGGGAGGCGGCGAAGGAGTTGATGAGACTGCTCTCGTGCGATTTCGACGGTTTGGTCATCAATTCAAAGAGAGTCTCGGAGTTATTCGAGGAACGTGTGCTGAAGGAGACCGGACGCGAGGCTGGAAACTGGGTGAAAAGTGACCAGGCCATCTGGTTCCTGAAGGAGATTTCGGGCATGGAGAACGCTGAGATGTCTTGGAAGTTCTTCATTCCGACGCTTAAAGCTTTCCCGATAGGGCAAGTGGAGGCGATGCTCATGGTCATGTACGACGGGGATGGCGTTCTCCTCAAAGAGAGCACCAGGTTGGTTGCCGTTAGGCACACGCGGATCGGACGCGACTTGAGTTACAGTGCCGTTAGGCACAGGTATACTCAGGAAGATGCACGTGGCGGATCTCTGATGTATGAGATGCATTGGAATGAACTCCCCATGGTGGGATACGTCATCATGAAGTTCTCGGACTTTCGGAAGGCGGTTCAGCTCCAAAGGGTGAGGCGAAATGGAAAGGCCATGATCGAGATATTGATCACGAGGCCCGATGTGTACGAGACCATTGGGGATGGTAGGCAGGATGAGGGCCTGATCCCACTTGTGGGAGCCATGGCGCCGGATGCTGAGGTATCGCCTTCGTGGTATGTCAGGGACAGGCTGCGGAACTACTCCGGTAGGTACGTGGTGGTAATGGTGGATCTTCGGGTGCACTGGTCCTTGGTTGGACCCGTGTTTTTGACGAGAAGGAAGACTCTTGCCGTTAGGAACGAGATCCACATGGGGGCTTGGAAGGCGGCGTATATGTACGATGATTACACGATAGTGTACCATCGGGCATGGGACTACGGTGACTTCACCCCCGTTAGGGGAGAGCACAGGCGATCACGGGAAGAGATCAGGCTGAATGTGACTGTCACGTTCTGCTTGAGGTGCGCAGAGTTGATGCCAAATGGGATGCACTTGTGTCCCGGGTGCGCGCTCCCGGTCTTTTACCCGAACTTTGTCCCCAACACGGAGGAAAAGGACTTCGAAAGGTGCCACATCGTGCCGGAGTGGGTGAGGACCATGGGGCAGTTCAAGCCCAGGAGGATTCCCTCCGAAGTGGTCGGAGTCATCAAGAGGAATTTGATTTCCTATTCGATGGCATCCGATCTGAGGATGACGGTGCAGAGCGGCATCAGACTTCCCCCTTATCTTGGTGAAGACAAGGGAGGTGTCGATGCGGCGTGGGATGAGCTGGCGAAGGTGCTATTCCAATTCTCCTATGTGTCCGGGATTTCGGCCTCGGATGCGTTTGTGGAGAAGTGGGTGGCGAAGCACCTGATCAAGACCAACCAAGTCGATAGATTTGAGTCGGTCACGGAGTACTTCCGGGCCAACCCAAGACATGCTGCTCAGTGGGGTAGGCGTATGACGACTTCCGTTAGGAAGTTCGCTCGTCATGACACGTACTTGTCATTCTATATTCCGATGGCATACGTGATTGGTTCCGCGGCTGGTCATCTGACCCCATTGTACCCGACCCATCGAAAGGACGTGGACATCCTGGAGAGTCATGCGTTGATTTCGCAGCTCAGGAAGTACATGGTATCGGAGACGGGGTACGATGAGAAGAAGAGATTGAAGGAGGCGATAGCCAAGGCGCAGAAGGCGATCAGCGCCGGACAGTCGGAGCCTCCCGCACCCTTCCGTGACCCGTTCGTTTACGTTAGTGACGAAAGGGTGAGGACGGTTCTTGACGGTCGTCAACCCGAACCATTGAACGTGGACATCGAGGGACTCCAATCGGTGCATCATGCTGCGCCGGGTCCTGGTCCCAAGCAGGAGCCGGTCCCCAAGGGCGGAAAAGGAAAAGGGAAGAAAGGGGAAAAGGGCGGTAAGGGCGGTAGTCCTTCCGGCCCACCACCGAAATCAGGTGAAGTGCCAGGTAAAGGATCTGGTAAGGGCGGTAGCCCATCTGTCCCAAAGGCGAAGGATGATGCTGGACCTGCTCCGATGGAGGTTGATACAGCAGCAGCTCAGCCGAAGAAGTCTTGGGCCGAGATGGTGGTTGAAGGGGCCAGGCCGAGTGCTAAGGCTAAAATGACCCCGGTTCCTAAGGCCGAGCCGAGAGGGAAGGCTGCTTCAGCATCTGAGGCGAAGAGTGCTCCGGCTCCAAAAGCTGTGGCTAAGGAGACGAAGCAGGCCGAACCGAAGGTTGAGGTCAAGAAGGAGAAGACAGGCGGAGGTGACGCTCCCGGCGGTAGCCGCGGGTCGGCCGAAGGACAGAAGAGAGAAAGGAAATCCCGTTGGGATCCCGACGAGGCTGCGAAGGAGTCGACAAAGCGGGAGGCGTCCACGAGGCCTGGCGACGTCGACAGCAGACCAGGTGCGGCAGCGAGAGAAGCTAGCGGGGATGATCTTCACTCCGCGCTTGGCAGATCTTCGGCAAAGGATGCGGTAGCGCCTTTGACGGCCTCCAAGGCGATGGCAAAGAAGCCTGAAGGCGGGGAGGTCCGGCTGCAGTCTGCTGAGCGGGCTGCGGCGAGCCCGGTGGAGGGTCACTTCCTGGTGCTGCCTGAGAGTTCGGTGGTGGACGCTTTCTTGTCGATCTCCACCAACAGAGTGCTGAACAAGCAGGTCAGGGATTTCATCAGGAATGGTGAGGACGCGTCGGCACTGGAGGCTCTCAACCAGATCGTGACGAACTCTCGATCTGGGAGGAGGCGTAGGGAATCGGATGTTTTCCGTACTCCTTCTCGGAGGTCCGTTAGGACCGTGGACACCAGGGATTCCAGAGAGTCGAGGAGGCGCAGATACCGTCCGCGGCGCGAGGATGATCGCGACAGGAGGAGGGACGATGCTCGTGATCGTCGTGATGATGATTCACTCGATCGGGAGCGAGACCGAAGGCGAGATGATCGCAGGAGATCCGAAAGGGATCGTGATAGGGACCGTGCGCGGGGCGGACGTGACCGGAGGAGACGTGACGATAGCCGGTAGGCTGAGTCACGAGGATTGCGGCCGATAGGCTTGCGTCCATTCTCCAATGGTCGGCGCGGTGCGGAGGTGATGATGTTCCTCCCGGACCGCTGAGGCGCGGAGGTCATGTCTCTCCCATACCGCTGCTGGGCTGCTGGACGTGTTCATCAGGAAGCAGTGTGAGTGAGAGGGAAAGCAAACTGATGGGGGGTTACTCCCGGGTTTGCGGAATTCAAGCATTTTTCAGGTACGCATGGTCAGGGGTACCTCTTGCCGTTAGGCGAGGGTACTAATGGACATACGTTATCTTTTATTTCATGGCTTCTGATAAGAATTAAACTTCTTGCATTGTTGATGCAAACAGTTGTGACCTATGTCGTCATGTGGACTTTTCCACAAGGTATGTTGGACAGCGTTACCCCGATTAATTCGGGGTGGTGGCGGGAATTTAATGCCCGGGATGTCGCGCAACTGCCTTTGTGGGTTTGCTCCACCGCTGACGGCGGTAGTGTCCAGCTGTTTGCGGACGCATGCGAGCAGTTAAATCCTATCAGTAAATGGCACGCTCCACCCGTCATATGACGGGCTCCTCGTGAGGGGGGTGTGATTAGCCATGGTTCATTTCATCATCAGGAACGTCGCGGTAGTGACCGACCTGTGGTGTTTTGGCTCAAGTTTTGGGTTCCGTCGCGCCTCGAATGGGCGTCGCCGAACCCCTGCGTCGACCGACGGCATCTCGGGGGAGAAAGAGACCTCGGGCCGCCGCCAGGTTGGTAGGGACCAGTCGTGCGGCCTGTTGTCGACCAAGGTTGCGGGTTAACCCTTTTCTTGTTTGGTTTGTTTCCTTTGGTTGTTGTTCTCTGGTGTGTGGGAAACCCTGATCTTTGGGACCGGGGATTGGTTTGCTTTTGGGGAACCTTTCTTTTGTGGCTTGTTTACCCCAACTTACCCATTGCCTGGGCACAGGCTCGTGCCCGAATCACAATATATAAAATATGTGCATTTGGGTATGCTTCAAACTGGGGCCCTTTCGGATCATTGTGAAAGAGAACAAGTATGAAATCGAGAGCTTGGAAGGGTCTCCAGTTTTGGCTCATTGCCATCTATTCATGTTTTGCATTCTTGCCGGATGCTCCACCAGAGCTGGAACTGTTCCTGGCTCAGCGTTAGTTAGGGCCGGAAAAGGGGGGCTGTGGCAAAGACGCCCACAGCGAAGTCCCCCAGTTCCGAGGAGGCGCCTGGGTACTAGACATGCGATTGGTCGCCTCTCTTTCTGTTTGGATTGAAGCACACCAGCAAACTTTTAGCCGGAAACCTGAGCTCTCGCTGTGCACAGGAGCAGCTGTGGCGCAGCCATGGCCAACAGCACCATTCCGTGACCTGAGCTGTGCTTGAGTTTCATATGACCCAAGGAGACTTTGGAGCGGCTCAGAAGGTTTGGGAGGACCCTCTCACGCACTGAAGCTGTCACAATGTTGCCCAATTCTAACCACTGCCAATCCTGGTCAATTTTGGCAGGTACATTGGCAGCAAGATCAGCTTGATCTCCAACTCGAACATTCGTTATGAGGCAGTTGGAGTTTGAACATGCTACCTGAGACCATTCTTGCAAAGGGCATCCTGTACACGATCAACACCCAGGAGTCCACCATTGCATTGCAGTCACGCCCTGAATGAAGGTCTTCGTTCAAGCTCCCGGGAAGGTTAAACGACTGGGAAGCGGCTTGACTGAGGTCAGTCCGCTCCTTTGGCACTGAAGGAAGAAAGGCGTAGTCTGCTGCAACAATTTCTTGCTTAGTGTGCACGGTCTTGAAGTCCACTGGTCATATGTCCTGCGTCAGGTGCCAGAGATCCCTCCGTCCAGTGAAATTTACGACTTCATCATCTTCCGCGGTCAGGCCGGAGCCAACTGTTTGTTTTTTTCCTTAAGGTCACTCCGTTTTGTGCATGGCAGTCTTTCCACTGCTTGCCTAGCGAGGACATCAAGGATCTGACCGTGCTGGAAGGTAGCTGAGACCTTGGAACTTTGCAGAAGCTAAGAGGCAGCCATGGCCGTTTGGAAGAAGGGCATTGCGGCATAACAGTGTCATTGGCCACTTGGAGGGGGGGCAGAGCGCAGCCCACTGCAAAGGAGCCCAGATTGCCATGCCAAGGCGGTGCGGCCCAGGGCGCCTCGCCCCATTTGAACGATCCAGCCATCATGCCATGGGCCAAGTCTCAGCCATTTCTTTGGGGTGAGGGCTCCGAACCACTCTCGGGTCCAGTCTCCATTTTCGAATTATACACCAAGAGTGTCTCGAGTGTCTTGAAGGACTCTGAGCTAAGGTCCATGAAGAAGCCCGCTGGCGGCCCTGGCATGGATGCACTGGGCAAGGCTGGGAAGGCGCGGTCAGGGCTTGACTCTGGAGTCACTTTGCGGAGCCACTAGAGACGACAGCCAGGTTTTCCAGTTTCCACAAGCATTTAGTCAATGTGAAGTTCCCTTGGCCGCCGTTCACCAGCTTTCAAAACGGCAAAGTGAAGTGAAGCGAAGATTGGTTAACAAGGAGCAAAGTGGCAGGGACAAGTTCTTTTGTTTGTGACAGAATCTGCTGAGGTGAGAGAGTCAAGACTCATCTCAAGCAATCCTGCCTTTTGTGAAGCTTCCCAGTGTTGTGAGAGCTTTTGCAGGCCGCGCCCAAGGGTAACTACGGCTATGGGGGTGACAGCTGAGAGCTCAAATTTCGGGAGCGGAGGACCTCACACCGCGTGCCAAGCTTCCCGAGGCTGGGGCACCCCTGCCAAGGGAGGCAAGGCAGGCAGAGCTGCGGACAACTTTTGGTGCCGCGGGCTGGAATGTCGACTTCCTTTCAATAAAGGGTTCCGCCCCAACCGATTTTTTTGGCACAAAGTTTTGAATGAATGATTATTTCGGGTTGTAGTGCTGCTTGTAGTACTTCTAAAGCTGACATTCGGCTCCGGGGTACTATTGTCCATTAACTTTAGTATTGGCCCCGGCTTCATTTAGTATTGGGTGAAGCAGGGGTCTGGCCCAGTATTTGATTATTCCAGACTCCAGCCTCAATTGTAAAAATTAAGTTTAGATTGGTTGTGAATCCCGGGGCTGTGTTTTCAGGTATGGATCCGGCGCCCAAGCCTCGAGTGGCTGGGGAAAAAGCGAAAAAGGCGCTGGTGCAGGCACGGCAGCTGTTTTTCTTCTTCTTTGGATGTGTTCAGAACATACGAATGTGCAGCATCCGAGGCTTGCGATCTAATGTGTGCGTGTCAGGCAAAGGATGGGACAAGGGCTACGACAAGGGCTACGAGAAGTCTTATGATGCTCGACGTGTTGGCTGGACTTCTTTTGTTTTTGAGGATCCCAACTTTTTTGGCCAGGCGTTTTCAATCTTTGCATTGTTGCGAGTACGACCCATCTTGCAACCTGTAAGTTTGCTACTAGCAACCTGAGTGCACCTCAAAACTGAGCCAAGGACAGAGGGTACGACAAGGGCTATGACAGGTATGACAAAGGCTTGCAGAAGACACAAACACAAATTTGACGTTGTCAATGTTGCATTGTAGTGCGAAGCTTGACAGCTGTCAAAGCACGTATGTAACTAGCCGCCGCTGTCAGGTGGATACGGAAAGAGTCTGGAGAAAGGCTGGTCAAGATGCCCGCTGGATTGAGCAGATAGCGCATGTAAAAATGGTCAAGTTTTCCATGGGTAGTTCGGGGATTTCGTGCAGGCAAGGGAAAGCCAATGAAAGGCGAGGAGAAGGGTGCAAAGGGCAAAGGCCAGACTCAGCTCTCCCCGTGCTGAAGTGGCAACGTAAGACTTGCAAGGCAAGGAGGCGATCGAGAAGGGAAAGCCTTCCAAGGCAAAGTAAGCACTGCATGTTAGCTCAAATGCTGTTCGATCAGTTTCTATCGTGCCGTGCTAGGGCCTCGACATCAAAGGCAAGAAGGCCGGTGAAGTAGCCAAGCCCTCTGAGACTCAGCGAGTGGCTTGATTTTACAGGGAGAAGGCAAAGGAAAGGCTGGCAAGGTGCAAGAGCACCGCTTTGCATGTGCAACTTGCATTGATTGGGAATTGAATATGCCTTGCACCAAGTTGAGGAGCATGTAAAGCAAGTATGTGGAAAGCTTGGCAGCGCTTCTAGTAGTTCGCACCGGCAGCCACTTGTGGCTAGATATGGGGGTAGACCTCTCTCCATAGAGGCTGACTGCCTCACAGTCCGCATAGCTTCTTGGCTTCAGACTTTTTCTGCAATGGGGGACAAACGAATGGCAAAGCCAAGGTGAACTTTCAGACCTTCCAGAAACTGGACCATGTGCGGCGTCGCATCCTCAGCATTGCAGATTGCATTGCGTTGAAGCCTTGACGCATGATGCAGCTCCTTTGGACAGGTGATGACGCATATGAGTCTTGCGAGATGGTGCCCATGGCTGCTGGTGTTGGCCAGCGGAGCGCAGGCGCTGTGAGAGACAAGATCTTCTGCTTCCAAGTGCTCAAAGAGCATGAGAAAGCAGTGGTGCCTTAGGTGCAGCTCAGTCCAAGCTCGCAATCCAGTTGGGCCCTGGGTTGGCTAACACACCCTCCGTCGGGGTTGCTGGTTGACTTGCGTGCAGACACAACTCAGGTGAGCGTGCCTACACGAACAACCCTGTGTGCATCAAGAACAGGCACATGCTTGGTACAACAGGTTGTACTCCTTGATCGCGCATCGCAAGGGTGCAAATAGACAATACGGATGCGGTTTGGAACAGTTTCGCATTGTCTTGCTGTAGACGAATTCAGTCGAGGGTTCAAAGCAGTTTGACACCGCCTCACAGCTTGCGTGTGCTGGAGATGCTTTGTTTGCGATGGCAGAGCGTGGGCCATTGTAGGTGTGTCAACCCTCTCACGCCTGGACTGAATGATTTGCCGCGCCTTGCAGGTCTGGCCAGAGGCCAAGCTTGAGTGTAGGTGTAAGTGTTTGTGTCGATGGAGTGGTCTTGGCTTCGCATTGGTGTCTTGTGACAAAGAGGGGCCAAGCTTGGCATTTGCTTCTGGTGCAGTAGTGCATAGAACTGATTGGTGTGAGGTATGGCAGTGTTCTGGTGCAGGGGATGTGCAGAAGTATCTGCAATTCTGCAAGGCTGCCCGCAGACCACCACGAGTAAGCAATCGCGTATTTTTGCAGCTCACGTCATTGGCCTTGCACACCAGCCACATGATTTTATGTTTGCTTGTAGCGTACTGTTTCTGCCTTCTTGGCATTACCGCTTGTTCTTCGAGGCGGCCGTGGACTATGATGCTGCTATTCCTTCACCGGCAAACAGTAGTGTCGTCACCGCCTGATGTGTCTTTCGCATCCCTTTGCAACCTTTCAGAGTTGCTTGCCCAGGCTCTTGACACCGTCGTGCAAGCCCAGGATGAAGCAGCCCCAACCTCGAGCGAACAGTTTTCAGCTTGTATTGTGATTGCATCGTGATTTGTTCAGGCATCTACCATGTTTGTCTATCATCTGAATGGCCTTGGCTTCGAGGCGAATTGAGTGTGTGTTGAATGTTGCGGGCTCCTGTGCGTTCTCGCAATATGCACCGGGACCAAGCTACAGCCTAGACGTGGGACTTCAAGCACCAGGAGGACAGAGACAGTAATCCATGTGCCCTGGCCTTGGGCGGACTGGTCATGTTGGCCGGCTCATTGACTCACTGTTCTGCATTTTGACTTTGTGCAACCCGGGATACTCAGGTTTATCGCATCTACGAACTTGTGTGCATGACCTACTTTCCAAGAAACCAGGCAACTGGCCACGAGACATGCTTTTGATTTCTAGCAGGTTTTCAAGAGCGACTACATGCATTTTGATTATGGTTTCAAATTTGCCCTGCAGGGGGGATGCACAGCTGGCTCTCAGACTCCGTATTTGAGACCCTGTGGCTTGACATCTCTGGGAAGATCGAACGTTGTCTTCCTGCCTGGGCTTCGCTTTAGTTTTGCCTGATAAGCCCCAAGACACAATTGACACAATTTGATCGGCACTTCAAGGCAAGACATCGTGCGAGAATTATCTGTCCGCTTGTGACGTGGAGTGCGGAGCCCACACGAAGTGTTCGCACTCACTTGAAGCACCATTGCCAATTGTGGTTGGCTTGATTCATGAAATGGTTCATGCGGACACGCCCAAGCCTGTCTAAGGTGCTGTGATGACAGTGCACACTGCGTCTTTGAGCTGTCCTCCAATCTTGGAGGAGGCACTGGAAAAATGAACACTGCCGCTGCTAGGGCCAGCTGTTGGTTTCTTGTTTTGGGTGTGAGTGAAGGTTATAGCGATTTCACGAGTTTAGTTTACCCTGTCAGGCGAGGAGAGCAAAGTTTCAGGATATGCTGATTTTGAAGCTCCCTCGGCCTTTTGTACAGGCAGGTCAGCCCCCACAGGTAAGTGGAGTCGCCTCTGGCAACGCTTCGAGGCCACAGTGGGTCAAGCCGCCTGGGTGGGTGGCCTAGATTCGATGCATTTCAGGTCAGATAAAGTGGAGATTCTCTTTAACCGGCAGGTCAAAGAGTACACTTTTTCCCGAATCCGAATGCGTAGCAAACAAACACACTATTACATGGGGTCTGAGGGTAAGGTTGTGTGTGCTGGTCCGCTCGCGTGTGGCTGCAAGCGTCCTCAAGCGTCTGGAATCGTTAGCAAGCGTAAGCGGTAGCGAGCGTTCGCGTGTGGAGACCTGTGCGTGAAGCGTTTCTTTTGCAGCGTCGCATTGCCTCGGAAGCTCGGCTTGTAGATTTTGTGGAAGGCGCAGTGCCTGGGAGCCTGGCCTGTAGATTTTGTGGCACGTGCAGTACTTCGATTGATGTCTTAGTGGGCGTAGTACTTGGGCAGAAGTTCCGGTCAAAAGTCTCAGGGAGGGGTATTTTTCCCCAAACAGTTTACTGTGAGGGGTTCTAAATTCATTTAAAGTGACTCGCCTATTGCCAAGCCATAGCCTGGATGCCTGGCACGGCTCTCTGGATGGACGGGTTCATTTGTCTCCCTTTGTCTCCCTTCATTTGTCTCCCGTTGTCTCCCAGCCTGGATGCTGGCACGGCTCTCTGGGTGAACGGGTTCATTTGTTTCCCTTTGTCTCCCTTCATTGTCTCCCATTGTCTCCCAGCCTGGATGCCTGGGTGGAAGGGTTCACTTGTCTCCCTTTGTCTCCCTTCATGTGTCTCCCGTTGTCTCTTGCCTGGCACGGCTCTCTGGGTGGACGGGTTCATTTGTCTCCCTTTGTCTCGCTTCATTTGTCTCCCGTTGTCTCCCAGCCTGGATGCCTGGCACGGATCTCTGGGTGGACGGGTTCATTTGTCTCCCTTTGTCTCCCTTCATTGGGTGCTATATTATTTAGGGAATTTTTCTCCCGCTGGATTGGGAATTTTTTCCAGTCCCTTGGCAAGCAAGCAAGCAAGCAAGCAAGCAAGCAAGCAAGCAAGCAAGCAAGCAAGCAAGCAAGCAAGCAAGCAAGCAAGCAAGCAAGCAAGCAAGCAAGCAAGCAAGCAAGCAAGCAAGCAAGCAAGCAAGCAAGCAAGCAAGCAAGCAAGCAAGCTAGCAAGCAAGCAAGCAAGCAAGCAAGCCAAGCAAGCAAGCAAGCAAGCAAGCAAGCAAGCAAGCAAGCAAGCAAGCAAGCAAGCAAGCAAGCAAGCAAGCAAGCAAGCAAGCAAGCAAGCAAGCAAGCAAGCAAGCAAGCAAGCCAGCAAGCAAGCAAGCAAGCAAGCAAGCAAGCAAGCAAGCAAGCAAGCAAGCAAGCAAGCAAGCAAGCAAGCAAGCAAGCAAGCAAGCAAGCAAGCACAGCAGCAGCCAGCCAGCCAGCCAGCCAGCCAGCCAGCCAGCCAGCCAGCCAGCCAGCCAGCCAGCCAGCCAGCCAGCAAGCAAGCAAGCAAGCAAGCAAGCAAGCAAGCAAGCAAGCACAAGACAGCCAGCCAGCCAGCCAGCCATGCAAGCAAGCAAGCAAGCAAGCTAGCTAGCTAGCTAGCTAGCTAGCAAGCAAGCAAGCAAGCAAGCAAGAAGCAAGCAATGAAGCAAACCCACCCTGAACCACCCTAATTGTACCAAACATGCCTTGCACCCGCACACCCTAAACACCCGATCCGAAACCTCACAAAACCCGCCTTTTTCCTCAACTCAACCAACCCAACCAAATTAAACTCCATCTGAACCCACCCTAGACCAATCCTAAACCGACCCACCTAAAGCAACCACAAACACACCCTACACAAGCCTACCTCTTTGCGTGCTGGGACGCAAGAACAAGCCTTTTTTTGGTGCAAAATCAGTTTGAGCAGGGGGTTGGGCAAACCAATATCAAACCCCAAGCCCAAACGGGTTGGGCGGACCAGTGTCAAACGTGTTTCTGAGGGGGTCCTCGAGAAAACAACATCGACACATCCTCGATTGGCCGGCGTCGGGGCTCCTCTCTCTGGGCGGGGTCCGGTGAGTCAGCTTCGGGCTGGGGAAGTCCAGACAGTCTACAGACACCAGCTTCAATCAGCTTCGGGCTGGGGGTTGTTGCCAAACGACGGCGGTTCATGCGTCAAGGGCTATGCGAGTAACCCCGAACACACCCAACCTACCCTAAACCCATCCTGCCCTAGACCAAAAACCTGCCCACCCCAAACTCATGCTAAACCCAACTAAACCCAACCTAAACCTACCCGAAGCCTACCCTAAGCCTAGGACCTTGAACCGACCTTGAACCCCGTAAGCCCTAAACCCAACCAGGGGGTCACCCCAAACTACCAGAACCACATTACACCCACCTTAAACCCACCTTAACCCACCCAGACCAACCTTCCACCAACCCCAGCTCCATCTAACACCACCTACCCTACACCTGCCCCGACCTGTCACAAGCACCCTAAACCTACCCTTAACCCGCCCTGAACCACCCTAAACATACCAAACATGCCTTGAACCCGCACACCCTAAACACCCGATCCGAAACCTCACAAAACCCGCTTTTTTCCTCAACTCAACCAACCCAACCAAATTAAACTCCATCTGAACCCACCCTAGACGAATCCTAAACCGACCCACCTAAAGCAACCACAAACACACCCTACACAAGCCTCAAACCAATCTAAACCTACCCGTAAACCCACCTACACACCCGCACGCCGCCCTAAACCCACAACCCTTAACCCCTAAGCCCACCCTAAACCACCCTACACCCAGAACAGACCCCTGAGCCCAACCTAAACCAACCCCCCGAATGCGCCCTGAACCTGAACCCACCCCAAAAACCAAAACTAACACCCGCCCTAAACCAACCCTGAACACCCTAAACCGCCCTACAAGTAGGTGCCTGTCACTCAGCTTGCTTTCATTCTCCTGTCCTGTTTCACTAAGGCACAGGTGGCGGTTCATGCACCAAGGACTTCCTGGATGAGAGCAACCCCGAACACACCCAACCTACCCTAAACCCATCCTGCCCTAGACCAAAGACTTGCCCACCCCAAACCCATGCTAAACCCAACTAAACCCAACCTAAACCTACCCGAAGCCTACCCTAAGCCTAGGGCCTTGAACCGACCTTGAACCCCGTAAGCCCCAAACCCAACCAGAGGGTCACCCTCAACTACCAGAACCACACTAAACCCACCTTAAACCCACCTTAACCCAACTAGACCAACCTTGCACCAACCCCAGCTCCATCTAACCCGCCTGCCCCGACCCACATTAGACCCCAAACGCACCCCCAACCCGCCCTTAACCTACGTGCCTTGAACCCCTAAACCGATCCGAAGCCTCACTACACCCGCCTTTTTCCTGAACTCAACCAACCCAATTACACAACCGCAAACACACCCTAGACCAGCCTCAAGCCAACCCTGAACCTACCCGTGAGTGACAGGCTGGCTTTCATTCTCCTGTCCTGTTTCACTTAGGCGCCCGCCAAGTATCCTCGTGAAGGTGGCGGTTCATGCACCAAGGACGTCCTGGATGAGAGGAACCCCGAACGCAGCCAACCCACCCTAAACCCATCCTACCCTAAACCAACAGCCTGCCACCTCAAACCCATGCTAAACCCAACTAAACCCAACCTAAACTAACCCGATGCCTACCATAACTAAACCCACCTTAAACCCACCTGAGCCCTTAACTAAACCAACCTTGCGCCAACCCAAGCTCCATCTCACCCTCTACCCAAGACCCCAACCAAACCCGCGCCGAACCCACCCTTAACCAGGCCCACCCCAAACCCCCAGCCACCCTAAACCCTAATCGCGCCCTAGACCCACCTTAAACCACTCCAAAGGTGAGAGGAAAATGGAACGGATAAAAATTCCTAAAAGCGCTGGAAAAAATTCCCGGAAAAAAAGGTCGGCCTCCCGGGTGCTATATTATTTAGGGAATTTTTCAACCCCTAAGCCCACCCTAAACCACCCGAACCTAACTTAAACCAACCCTGAACAGACCCCTGAGCCCAACCTAAACCAACCCCCCCCAATGCGCCCTGAACCTGAACCCGCCCCAAAAACCAAAACTAACACCCGCCCTAAACCAACCCTGAACACCCTAAACCGCCCTACAAGAGCCTAGGTGCCTGTCACTCAGCTTGCTTTCATTCTCCTGTCCTGTTTCACTAAGGCACAGGTGGCGGTTCATGCACCAAGGACTTCCTGGATGAACCCCGAACACACCCAACCTACCCTAAACCCATCCTGCCCTAGACCAAAGACCTGCCCACCCCAAACCCATGCTAAACCAACTATCCCCAACCTAAACCTACCCGAAGCCTACCCTAAGCCTAGGGCCTTGAACCGACCTTGAACCCCGTAAGCCCTAAACCCAACCAGGGGTCACCCTAAACTACCAGAACCACACTAAACCCACCTTAAACCCACCTTAACCCAACTAGACCAACCTTGCACCAACCCCAGCTCCATCTAACCCGCCTGCCCCGACCCACATTAGACCCCAAACGCACCCCCAACCCCCTTAACCTACGTGCCTTGAACCCCTAAACCGATCCGAAGCCTCACTACACCCGCCTTTTTCCTGAACTCAACCAACCCAATTACACAACCGCAAACACACCCTAGACCAGCCTCAAGCCAACCCTGAACCTTCCCGTGGATGCCTGTCACTCAGCTGGCTTTCATTCTCCTGTCCTGTTTCACTTAGGCGCCCGCCAAGTATCCTCGTGAAGGTGGCGGTTCATGCACCAAGGACGTCCTGGATGAGAGGAACCCCGAACGCAGCCAACCCACCCTAAACCCATCCTACCCTAAACCAATAGCCTGCCACCTCAAACCCATGCTAAACCCAACTAAACCCAACCTAAACTAACCCGATGCCTACCATAACTAAACCCACCTTAAACCCACCTGAGCCCTTAACTAAACCAACCTTGCGCCAACCCAAGCTCCATCTCACCCTCTACCCAAGACCCCAACCAAACCCGCGCCGAACCCACCCTTAACCAGGCCCACCCCGAACCCCCAGCCACCCTAA